ATTTTTATTCTTTCTTTTTTTGAAAGAAATTGAAACTTTTATTCAGCAAGGATGTGTTAAATTGTTAAGAAGTGATAGCAAAGATTTATATTGTTAGAAAAGATTTATACTTTTAATAAATGCTGTGCTTTTTAACTTTTTATTCATCAAAGAATCCTGAAAAAAGTATCGCAGTTTCCCAAAAAAAATATTTGGCAGCACAACTGTTGCCAGCATTGATAATTCTAATAATAAATCAGCATATTAGAATGATTTCTTAAGGATCATGTGACACTTTATACTGGAGTAATGGCTGATGGAAATTCATATTTTAAAGGAAATTATATTTTAAAGGATATTCAAATAGAAACCATTATTTTATATTATAACATTTTGCAAGATTACTGTTTTTTTTTCTGTATTTTTGATCAAATAAATGCAGCCTTGATGAGCATAAGAGACTTCTTTAAAAAACATTACAAATCTTACTGATCCCAAACTTTTGAACGCCAGTGTATATCTGCTGAGTTGAAGCACGTTTATCTAGTCTGGTCAAGACTGGTCATAACAAATGCATATATTTTGGAACAAATGCACTTAAATGTTGCACCACTCTTATATTTTACTCCACTAACCAAATGCAAATCATGTGTTATCTGCACTGCAGAATCTGCTGGTCTAACTGTGGACCAACTAAATATGGATTAACAGACTTTCAAAAACAGTCCCTCATCCGTTTGAGGTCTCGACCTGTCAGTTCTGTTGCCACACATGGTTTTGTGATGCTTTTAATGAATCTGGAAAATAATGTGCAACGCCACCTTAACACTTTTCTGTCTTCACCATTCATCCAAGCAGGAGTACCAATGAGAATCACAACAGATAAAACATTTTTATCATACAATCATTTGGCAAGTGATGTAGTATGTCCTGATAGCCTGAAAAAGGTCTGAAAAAACAAGAGCATTGTATTCTGATGAGATGGCTTGAAAAAGGGGAACTGCTCTCATTTTTTTCGATAGAATTTAGCTTCAGTACAGTGTGTCTGTTTAACATGTGGTACTATTTTGAGATGTGCAAAAGAGCAGAGAGAGATGGTTTGTCTGATAATGAACAACGCTGAAAATGTACGAAAAATATCTCTACATTCAGACAAGGCTAAACCTAATTAATACAACCGCCAGGGTTAAAACATAATGTGTCCTGAAAACACATGCACCAGCATTTGACAATATGGTTACATTGGAGGACCATAAAGTAAAGATTCTGATATAAATAAATCAAATGCTGAGTCATTCACTTTATTCAAAAGAATCGGCTCATTCTTTCACGAATCACTGTTAAGTTTGAATTCTTTCTAAATTCAGACTGCAAACTCATAACTCAGCTAAAATATCATTCCTTCTGCCACAGCGCTATAGATTTGGCACAAGAAACAGTATATTTTAGTTATTTGTTCTGTCTGCAATGCAAAAGCATGCAAATGCTCAAAAACTGCTAATGAAACATCATGGAAATCATTCGGTTGCAGTATTTCTTAAAGGGGTCATATGATGCGATTGTGTGTGTGTGTGAGGGGAACAGGGTCACATCACAGGAGAGTGAACTGCCTGTCAGAAATCATAGCACGTCAGCTGTCTTAACCTAAATGCTTGTGTACTGCATCATCACTGTGTCTGTCACGTGACTCTGTTGCCCTTTTGGGCTTGAACTGATGGTAAAACTAACGGCATTATTAACTGTCTTGATATTTACTTTGAAAGCTTGAAGCTCGCGATTATGGTAAGGGGCGTTACATTTCTGACTTGTTCGGCTTGTGGTGTTCGGCCAATCACAATGCACTGGGTCAGCTGGCCAATCAGAGCAGACTGCGCACGTCAAAGAAGGGGGCTTTGTTGAAAACGACGTGTTTGAGAGAGGCGGGGCATAGAGGACCTACAATAATATACAGTATTTGAAAAATAATGTGTTTTTTGAACATTAAAGCATGTCAACATATTCTGTTACACCAAATACACAAAATAATGATCTTTAAAATAGCATCATATGACCCCTTTAAAGTAAACCTGTTAATAATAAGAAACTGTTCTTGAGTCCCAACACTAATTATATGTCTAACAAGACGGAGGCTAAAATATTAGCAATGTATCTTATGTTTTTCAATATTATGCAATATCATAAATAAGCCGTTCAGTAATCCTGTAATTATATGCATGTGTGAAAGTAAAAAAACTGTACATACCATTTTATCCAAAAATGTCACCAGATCCTAAAAAGCCAAGAGAGGGATGACAAAATTGTATGCAACATTAATCAATTTTGCTATAAATTTACATGGATAAGTAAATTCACATGGATTAGTTTTAATTACCAGCATGATTTGTTCTTGAGAATACTCCTCAATCTCTGCATAAAAAGGTGGGAATAAAAGGTGCTTATTCTATGCTCTGTATCTTTTCATATGGCAATAATAACAAGATTTTTCAAATTATATACAGTATATGTATCAGCTTTAATGCACATATCAAAATAACATGTCAAATGTGTTTGTATAAATATTGTCAAATATTAAAAAATGTATAGTTTAACTTACAATTTGCAATAAGTTTAAATACTCCATTTATTGTTTCCACAAAATCTGCAATTTTCTGTCATTGTTTGAATGCAGTACACTCTTAAAAATAAAGGTGCTTCACGATGCCATAATATAACCTTTTTTGTCTAAATGGTTCCATAAAGAACCTTTAACATCTGAAGAACCTTTCTAGTTTCACAAAAGGTTCTTTGTGGCGAAAGAAGGTTCTTCAGATTATAAAAAGGTTAGAAAGAGATGGTTCTTTAAAGAACTTTTGATTGAATGGTTCGTTGTGGAACCAAAAATGGTTCTTCTATGGCATCGCTGTAAAGACCCATTTAAGCACCTTTATTTTTAAGAGTGTAAAGCATGATGTAGCAGAAAACATCTGGCTCTTGTTTGCATTTTCTTCTGTCACTGGTCATGATTCTAACCTTGAAAATAAAGATTAGGCTTAAAATAATGTCTTCAGAATCATTCATACATGTTAAAATCATTTGAAAATTGAACAAATAGCTGTAATCTGACTCAGAGGAAGACAGGAATCATGTCTTTGTGGCAGTTTTTCTGCTGATTAAGGGATAATACAAGAATTCTTACAATAACCACCTTACAAATGGTTGTCAAAAGCAAAAATGCTACAATGCATCATATTTTGTGAGAAAGTGTGATATGCTAGAAGAAATCAGGCACTATTTTTGGAGTCAGCAGCCCAATATTCATAAGAAACAAGTATTGGCTTTCATTCAGCAAATTTGATGCGGGCGGTTTAATAATAATAATAATAATAATAATAATAATAATAAACAGCAGTTATAAACCTTAATTAAAAGGTACTATATATTCGAGCATAAGGACATTTGATAAAACGTTTAATTAAAAAACCTTTAAAATGTCTTTAATTTTATTGCATTGTAATCATTTAAAGCAATAAGGCCTTGAGATCATGCTATATTGAAAATATATTCAAAATACAGCACAGCCTCTCATAACTTATTGTTGAAAACATGCACTGTCACTCCACACACAGTTCTTTATGTAAACTTCAAATCCCATCACAGAAGTGACCTGATGCACATGCTAAAGAGCAGTGTTTCTCATTTTCATTCTCAGCATGATGCCACAGCGATCACAGGGGAACTGGAGTGCCTGGAATCCTTTCGGGCATTTATTTCAGTTACCTGGAAATTCATGCTGCTTTTAAAGCTAAAGCATGACATTTGAGCAAGCAACGCACACACACGTTTAAAACAAACTCTCGGCAGCAGTTTTTAGGTCTCTCACTCATGCGTTGACTTGAGGATAATTCACAGATGTAATGGCTATTGAACAGGCTTTAATGCTATTGCAAACAAAGTCAAAGCATCCTGTTCTGCAAACTTACCAATAGTAATGAAAGTTACTGTTGGTCATCTTAAAAACGTAGCTGACGTCAAAGGAAAAAAAAACAAGCTGTTTTCAAAATATAACTAAAGGAACTATAAATGTTCCTTTAGTTGAAGTAACCTATTATACATACTGTAACTACTTATGTTTATAAGGCAATACAATTTCCAGACGGAATTTCTTATATAATGTATCTTAAGTGTCCTTGATCACAGGATGCAATTAAAAAAACCTTTAACACGTTACCTTGACAACTTCCTGGGAAAGACTATGTATTTTTAATTTACAATGAGCAAAAATGAAGTATCCATCTAAAAAACAACCTATGCACTGATTCTGTGGATTGCAATTAGTAGTTGTCATAGGTTAAGAATCTATCTTATGAAACACAACTAAGGGGTTTTTATATTTCACTTTGGGCTTTTTAATCCCAGGTTAAGGCCATTTTTAACCATGTGTTTAGCAATGCCATTTCATTTTTCATTTTGAAAGGGGAACTAACACTGCTTTTAACAAGTGCAGTATTTAAAGTCATGTTGAAACGCAAGTAGACAGATCTTTTCTGCCATATTGTGACGTACATCTGCGTATCACAAATGTATGGCCTGGACTTGGTTCTATGCATCAGTTGTCAATCAGATTTTAATATGTTGCCATTGCATTCAAAATTGGAGGTAGATGAACACAAGCTTGCAGGGGTGAGTTTTAATGACTAAATGACTGGAGACGTCCTGCATATGTCACCAGAGAGAAGTCTGCCATTTTCACTTAAAGGTCCAGTTATGACATTTTGATTAAACATTTTGAGGTATGTCAAAACATTTAAAAATGCAACATGCACAGATGAATTGTTCACAATAAGATCTATAGCGTGCATAGATAGAGTAGAATATAGCTGGTGTGAACAGAATGCATTAACACTCAAGTCACAGAGTAAGTGACACCTTCTTGTGCTTTCACAACAATGCAAAAAGCCACTCGCCAAAACCTTCACCCTCTCTGTTCCTCTCTGGTGGAACGAGCTGCCAACATCCACCCGAACTGCTGAAACAATCACATCTTTCAAGAAGCAGCTGAAGACCTCTTTTGTAACCACTCCACAATCTCGAACCAAAGCACTAATACGCTCACAAAAAATTCTCCTCTTCTCTAACTTGCTTCCTAATCTAGTTGTCAAACAAGCCTGGCATTGTATATTATGCATATTGTTGGCTTCTTGATGAAGTATGTTTGCTCCTCTTTGCTTTTGTTCCTCTTTAATTAATCGCTTTTGAATAAAAGCATGTAAATGTAATGTAAAAGAAAAAACAATACTGTATATAATTATAACTGACCTGGTGGAGCAGTGGAGTCACCGTAACCTTTCATGTCAAGAGCTAGAACCCTGAATCCAGCATTGGCCAAAGCCGGAATCTGATGAGAAACAATAAACAAAAACAATAACACCTGAAGGACATAGTACCTGAGTGGCACTTGTGTTCTAAGTGGTTGCCAGGGCATTGCTATGCGGTTGCTAATGTGTTCCGAGTGTTATTAATGCATTGCTACCAAGTTGATAGGATGTTAGGTTATTTCTTACTGACTCAAAGAAACCATCCCAAGGTCTCTATGATAGGTTTTGTTCAAACCCCTAATCCCAAGTGAGAGATATAATAATAATAAGCACTAAAGTGCCACAGAAGGGTGATTTAGAACGGTTAAAAAAACTCTTGCATTACACTATGGCATCTTTTCACATTTCCAGGGATCTCAGACGCACAAGTCCATCATAGTTGGGTAAACTTCACTACAATAAATTATTTTTTGCATTTCCATTTGCTCCAACAGCAAAAAAAAACAAAAAAACATGAATGTTTTTATGATTTTCCAAAAGAGTAAAAAATATAGAGAGATTGATTACGATGGTCAGAAGAGGAAAAAGATGTGAAATTTGCCATCACTAGAAACACTCACTCAGCAGCATTAACCAACTTTCTGTAATTTAATACCAAAGTAATAAAACACAGAGTACAGAGTTATAAATATACATTACATCTTTTAAAAATTAAACTACAAAAAAGTTGCTAGATTACATAATATAACTCATTGCGTCATCACAGTCTGTGAAAAGGGTCCATTCTTCTTTTCATTATCCAAAGCAACTTGCATTATTCCAATTCCCCTGGAGCCGTATTCAAAGGTATAATAGTGAAAGCTCATGAATCACCGCTTTTGGCGTTTAAACCCAACACCCGTGGGTTACCAGCCCTGATCTTTAACCACTAAGCTATGAGACTCACAATAATCCTTCAAAGGCCTGTATTCCACTTGCATCAGCTGAAAGATTTGAGGTTCCTCACCTGATACCTCCAGGAAAACCAACTCTCAGGGAAGCCATGGCACATGAGAACAGGCGGTCCGTCTCCCAAGTCCACATAGTGGATCCTCACGCCAGGCTGAAAAACAGAGGAACACACTTTTTATGACCCTTGCTAAAAATAACACACTTCCAGTGAACTTTGGCACAATTAAAACAGAGATAAGCATTTATAAATTACCTTAATATTCACATATCCATGAGAGACATTTTCAGGATCACAAGAGGGTGGCTGGAGATCACCGGTGACCTGTCAAGTTATCCATTAAAACCATTAAATGAAAAAGGTTATTTGTTTTTTTCCCACTGTAAATTATAAGATGACTTGTTCTTTTTAACTACCAAAAACTGTAAATTTAACAGTATTACAGTTACAGTTTTATTACCGTTATTATATATAATAAGGGAACCTGCTGTTAACCAATTAACAGTTTTTTACTGTAGCATTTTTGCAGTCTTTTACCATTATTTTTTTTTTTACAGTCTATCAATGGAATTACGAATTCCAGTAATTCCTCACCTCTATTTCTGTAAGCTTCTGGATTTCCTTAAGAGCCTCGGTGATGTCCTTGACTTGAACAGCTGTCATTCCCAAACTTTCAGCTGCCTTGATACTTTCTTCATCCACATCCAGCCAGACCGCCTTAAACAAGCAAATTATAAGAGCATTTGGTTACATCCTTAACTAGCAGCTTTCGAATCCGCTCTTTCCAATTGGAGAGCTTCTGAAATTATTTACTGCTCTTACTTCTTGAGGTTTAAGCGCAAGTTTTTCAAGGGCACTGGTAAAGATGTCTGGCTCTGGGATTCTGACACCGGCATAGCAAGATCTCACAACCAGGTTGAAATGGCTTTCCAATACGGAGAGAATCCTAGCGACGCCGTCTCTCTGATCAGTGTCATCCACCCAGATATTGGCCAGGACGCAGGTAGAGATGCCTTAAAGGAAAAGTTCACCCAAAAATTTTTATTTGCTGAGAATTTAGTCACCATCAGACCATCCCAGATCCCAGAAATGAGTTTGCTTCTTCACCGGAAAAAAAAAATTGGAGAAATGTAGCATTACATCGCTTGCTCACCAATGGATCCTCAGCAGTGAATGGGTGCCGTCAAAACGAGAGTTCAAACAACTGATAAAAACATCACAATAATCCACAAGTAATCCACACCACTCCAGTCCATTAATTAATGTCTTGTGAAGCAAAAAGCTGCGTGTTTGTAAGAAACAAATCCATCAAGACGTTTTTAACTTCAAACTATTGCCTCTGGCTAAAATACGAGTCCTCTATCCATAACACTGCTTTCTCCAGTGAAAAAGTAATCTAGTCTGAATCAGGAGAGAAATATGCACAGATCAAGCACAGTTAAAAACAAATATGTTGATGGATTTTGATGTGAGAGGACAACAGGAGATGGAGTTTTTCACTGGAGGAAGGGTAATTATTATGGATTATGAACTCACGGCTTTTCACTTCACAAGACATTAACTGATGGACTGGAGTGGTGTGGATTACTTGTGGATTACTGTGATATTTTTATTAGCTGTTTGGACTCTCAATCTGACGGCACCCATTCACTGCATTTGTCCAAATCTGTTCTGATGAAGAAACAAACCCATCTACATCTTGGATGGCCTGAGGGCGAGTAAACTTTTAGCTAATTTTTATTTTTGGGTGAACTATTTCTTTAAGAGATAAATCAACAATTCAATAGAAAAGGATAAATGGTTTATTCAAAACCTCGCAAAACAAACGCAACATACCATGACGACGGAGAACAGCTGCAGCATCAAGAACCGGCTTGTTGAATTCTACCTGCCCAATGTCACTGAAAAGCTTCTGAGCTGAGAATTGTGCAGGTAAAGAAAATCCCTGATCGGCCGCAACCTTCTGACACTCAGCTTCAAACTCAGGAATCATCTGATATGTGAAACCAGTTATGCAAGAGTAAATATTTTTGTTGCACTAAAGCAGAATGCATGCATGCTGTCATGTCATGTCATGTCATGTCATATGCATGAATACATTTATGAATGAATGAAAATAACCTGAGTTAGGGTGACTTTTCCTTTCTCCAAGCGATACAGTGCATTCTCACTACCAAGTTTTGCAATTACATTCTTTATGAAACCCCTACAGCAAAACAGCATTGGTAATGAAATATAATATTAAATGAAAAAAAAGCTAAGCATACAAATTATATATATATATAATAAACAAATGTATTACATTTTTATTTTACATAAAATAGAAATAATAAATATACATTTATAATAAATAAATTATTATTTTTATTTTATATAAAATATTTTATACTAAATAAATAAATAAAACAAACAAATAATAGTCACATACCTCGAAATACCAGTAGTTTCCTCAAACTTCTGAAACGTCTGGGCAAGATGGGGTGTAACAACACCACCCCACAAACTAAACAGCACTGCCTTCTTCATTGGAAACTAGTTTTATTTTATTTTATTCAAAACTAACAAGTCTCTGGGCAAAAAGGAAACACTGGCCAGAAAACATTACACGACTTGTAAGTTACTTGCTTGCCACTTCTGCCAGGACAAATACACATAATGTTTACAGTACAAAGTTCATTGCGCAATGCTGTCATAAAGTTGAATTCGGTGAACTTTTATGTTTACCTGATGTGCGGATTCTGATTTCTGGACGCAGGAAGATCGCTGTACAGTTACCGCAGTGCAATTAGCAACTTGTAAACTAATGCTGTAAGGACTGGCACTGCCAGAGTTTGAGCTTAAATACTACTACGAGTTCTACTATGACGGTAGGGCTGGGAATCGATTCAAAAAAGAATCGATTCCGAGGCGTTGGGAATCGAGAGTCGATTCCAAAGGTTGGAATCGATTCCATCAAGAGGAATCGACTCCTCATTCAGAGCCTTTTTCAGTTCAATAAAGCTTATCTATGGGTCCGTACTGAGATCATCTGAATTTTAGGATGCAGCCTTCCGTTTGAGAAGCACCATTCGCCTCCCTCATGCTCACTAAAAGCCGTAATTACGAGAGTTTTAATGAACCAGTTTAAAAAAAAACACGATTCAGAGGTTATTTTACGGTGGAACTGGCTTGTCCACATTTTTGAGCGCTGCACGACAGAATAAAATACTTTTTTTTTTTAACATTTCTATCAGCCAATGATAATTATAAAAGAGCATAGATCAGTGGCCGAGAGCGCATCTGATTGACGGATAAACCACGAGCTCTATCAGTTATTGTTAATGTTCTGGTTATTTAGTTTCAGTGTACAGCTTGTTAATTTTGTGCAAAGCATAGGCCTACAGTCAAAGTAAACTTCATCATTCAGCTGAACTGTGCACATTTATTAGACACTTCATGTCTTGTTCAATTCATGCGATAAACGCATGTCCCTGTTGAGCTGTGGGCTATGACTAACTTATTTAATAATTAATGTATCCTCATCGAAAAAGAATCGAAAACAACAGTGAGGAATCGATTCTTAAAGGGCGCGATGAACAGTTGGCGCGTTTACGAATCCTGCGTGTCTCATTAGAAGCTCCAGGAATGTTGCCAAGCAACGTCAACGAGACCTATTTAATATATTCATAAGCCAAGCCTTCACTCTAGTAGTTTAAAGAGCTCAAAAGTCAAGAAAGTTATGTCAATCTCAAACTTTATAAAACGTTTGTGAATACTAGTTATTTAATATAAAATGCCTTTTTTTTAACCATGCAATATGTCAAGTAAATATAAATGATTATTAAATATATCATATATTAAAGAAATATTAAACAATATATATAAAATATTCAAATATGACAAAAAAGACGTGTATTATAATGCACAAAACATTAATAAGTAAATAATTAAATGTACCAACTATTATTGTTGTTTCATAATATGCATTGTGTTTAGAAAATCATAACATCATAATCATAACAAAAATCTAAACAAAAAATCTGAAAATATTTTTTATTTACATTTAAATTTATTCATTTAGCAGACGCTTTTATCTAAAGCGACTTACAATTGGGGAATACATCAAGCGATTCATCTTAAAGAGGCAAATAGACACAGAAAGTGCTTTAGCAGACGCTTTTATCCGAAGCGACTTACAATTGCGGGATACATAAAGCGATTCTTCTTAAAGAGGCAAACCGACACATGGAAGTGCTTGTAATACCAAGTTTCAGGCATTGTTCAAATAAGTACAAGCTAGACTGGGGATTAAGTAAAGAGAAGCAAGAGTTTTTTGTTGTTGTTTGTTCCATTTAGTTTTTTTTTTTGCTGTTGTTGTTTTTTTATCATTCGGTCTTTGAAGGTCAGCTGGTCATCGAAGATTACACCAAGATTTCTTATGAGGTAACTGTTGATGAACCTAGCTGGATGGTGAAATCATGCTGTAGAGTTGGAGTGGCGGGGAAGACAAGGAGCTCAGTCTTTGCTAGGTTGAGCTGTAGGTGATGTACTTTCATCCATGCAGAGATGTCCACCAAGCAGCCTAAGATCTGTGCAGCTCTATCATCACTGTCATCAACTGTATCATCAGCATAGCAGTGGTAGGAGAAACCATGTGCCTGTATGTTTGGACCCAGTGATGTAGTGTATATAGAGAAGAGGAGGGGTCCAAGAACTGATCCCTGAGGAACCCCAGTGACCAGCTGATGTGCTTTGGATACCTCCCCTCCCCAAACCACGCTGAAGACCTACCTGTGAGATAGGATTCAAACCAACAAAGTGGAATCCCTGTGATGCTGAGAGAGTGGACATGAGGATCTTATGATTCACAGTGTCAAAAGCGGCAGATAGATCCAGCAGATATATAAGAATTTTAGATTTATAATATTAATATTGTATAAGTATAATAAAAAAAAATACATTTAGTAGATAAGTTATGTAAATTAAGTAAATTATATAATTAAATGTACTGATTTACTTTTCAGTATTTAAATTTATAGACAACAATTATTATTTTATAACATGCATTTTCACACTAGTAATATGTCTAAACACTAGTAATATGCTTAAAAAAATCATAACATCACAACAAAAATCATAACAAAAAATCTAAATGTTTTTATATATAAGAATGTAATATTTTATATTATAAATAAATATAATAGAAATACATTTATTATATGTAATGCATAAATTATTTACTGTAATAAGTCATTAATTAATTGTACCGATTCATTTAGCTATATGTGATGAATTGAATTCAAAGTAGGTGGTGCTTTTTCGCTGATTGGCTAATCCTAAAACAAATTGTGTCATGCAAATATTTATTTATAATTAATAAAAAAATAATAATTAAAGTTTTGAGTATTTGGTCCTTTATAGTACCAAACTGAAGACTTATTTCACAATGTAAACCCCTCCCACTGATCCTCTATGGAGACGCACAGCATCATCATTGGCTCACAGTCCGTCAGACCCGCTCAGTGAGTCTGATGCTGATCCAGCAGCACTATCATAACCACTGCATGATCAGCACATACAGCAATCATGACAGGCCGTTTCACACGCTTCTAGACTTTTGCGGATGGACATGGAGCAAAATCATTTCAAATTATTTTTGAAGAATCTGCCGCTGTTCTTCCTTTTTGTGGAACACGTTAAACCTGGTAAGTGCACAGTTCTTTTTAATTAGTGAAATTATATTTTATGGAATGATTATTCAGTTCATTTGCATGTTTCAAATCATATTTGTGAATGAAACACTTACAGTATCATGCAAAGTGTAATCAAAAGATTTTAGACGAAGTATTGAGTGTTAATGTCTTATTCTCTTCATATAGCCTATCAGTGGATCAGGTACTTAAAATCCATATTAATAACATTTTAACCACGATTTTCCTTCAGAAAATCGACGTGTATCATTTTTAATGTTATAGCCTATTAAGTCCACTGGCAATATTTTAAGCTAAAAATTCAGTGGGATCTAAAAGTCTCAGACCACATTGCATTAAACCTCATTAATTGGAACATTCTTAAATCAAGTGGGCATTCTGAAATTACTATTCATTTTTAAATTCAACACAAAAGAGTAATTGAGAAACACGCTTTAAATGTAGTTCTGTTCCCTACATAGTGTTTATTTAACAAATATGCCTTGTATTACTAATAAAATTCTTATTTTTAATTAGAATTTAAAATTTCTTTAAAAATCTAAAACACAAACAAAATTTATGGAATAATTGCAACAGCTTTTTCCCGTGGCGGAAACAAACTCCCATCTCACAATTCTGACTTTTTTCTAGCAATTCGGAGAAAAAAAAGGCAGAATTATAATTATAATAGCAAGGGGAAAAGTAATTTTAAAATTCAGAGTTGCAAGAAAAAAGTCTTACATTTTTATTTATAAATTACATTTTTTATTTATTATTATTTTTTATTCCGTAGTGGAAACAAACTTCCATAAAAACTATATGTTAAATAAAAGCAATTTTCCTTTCTTTCTTTCTTTTATTTCTTTATTTTTTATTATTTTCCATTATTTTTCTTCGCGTATAAAAGTTCAAATAATAGGACTCTAAATAAAATAGCTTAGAGAACATGGAAGTTGAAAGAAAATAATTAGTGGCTGAAAACTGCTAAAACAACTTTTACTATGCCTAATATAAATGCAAATCTGAGCAAATAATACAAAAAAAAAATGCATAAATTACACCGACCGACCGACTCCATGACTCTAAGACTGAAAAGCTTATTGTGTATCATATTGCACAAGGTTTAACATTTATACAGACAAATCAAACTGTAGAAGATAATTGTCACTGAAAGTTGCAATGGCACGGAGTAAAATAAAGTTGCATGATCAAGACCTGTCAGAAACTCTCTATGAATATCTCTTGCAGCATTATCAGATGGTTGGATCCATGCACATGCAGAAGACAAACTCTTTAAAAAACTCTTCATCGGTTACAATAAGTGGTCCAGACCTGTGCGGAATATCAGCGATGTTGTTATTGTCAAATTTGGCCTCTCGATCGCCCAGCTTATTGATGTGGTAAGTTGATATTTTGCATGTTTTTGATGCTTGCCTTGATAACGTTACAAGAAAGAGTCCTGGGGCCTGTATCATAAAACAAGTTTACCAAATAAGCCAGGTTTATTTCAGTTAGTCTGACTTATTGATTTGGTTCAAAATAAGTCAGACTAACTGAAATAAGCCTGGCTTATTTGGTAAACTTGTTTTATGAAACAGGCCCCAGGTTATAACTGAGTGGAAAACAATGCAAATTAAATGCATCAGTATAACCATCATGAGTGCATTTGATCAGAGAACTGAAGAATTGTAAATGCTAACATGATTTTTACATTTCTGATGAAAATATGAGTGGTGCTTCAGCTTCAGTCGCTTCTCCAGTGTAAGTCTGTGGGATTTATTCATCTACCAGACCAAATTTATATATTTTTCATGCTTATTTCTTGCTCTGATATTCTACAGGACGAGAAGAATCAAATGATGACAACAAATGTTTGGCTGAAACAGGTGACAGTCTTAATATTTAACTGTTTTAATTAATAATTAATAATTTATATTGTGGTCAAAGCTCAACTGATAGAATTCACGAACCCTTTAGATAATCATATAGTAAAAACAAATGCAATAATTATGTTCTATATATTATAAAAAGCCCATTAAACCTCAAGAGTAACTTCAGCAGCACTTACGTACACCAGATTTATTCCTAACTATATTCTAAAGATTTTTACACAGGGTTTTGTTCATATATCATTTACCTGATGTTATACATCATTTTATATATTTTTTCATTTGGCTAT